CACTCGGTCTTGGAAGGGTTGAGCCTGAGTCTGTTCCTCCCCATCCAGACCCGTACGGCCTCCAGGCAACGGGTCATCACGTCAAGGGCATCGTTGGGGTGGCCTGGGGTGGAAATGTACAGCTGCGTGTCATCAGCGTACTGATGGAAATCCACCCCAAAGCCACGAATGATCTCCCCCAGCGGCTTTACATAAATATAGAATACATTTACAATGGGATAGATCAGTGGTTCTCAACCTTTTTAATGCCGCGACCCCAACCAGTCGTAAGTCGAGGACTAAACCGGTCATAAGTCGAGGACTAAACCGGTCGTAAGTCGAGGACTAGACCGGTCGTAAGTCGAGGACTACCCAACCGGTCGTAAGTCGAGGACTTTCCCTGCCCGGGAGCGCCGCGCACGTGTGGTTCCGCCCCCTGCGCCAGCCGAGGCGTAGCTGGCAAGCGGCAGAGACAGAGCAGGCCGACCACCAGCTGGCCCAGCCCAAGGGAGGTAAGGCACCCGCCGGAAAAGGGGAAAAAAAATGGCGGACAGCCTTGCTTGGCGACCCCCGTGAAATGGTCAATCGACCCCAAATGGGGTCCCGACCCACAGGTTGAGAACCACTGGGATAGATGAAAGTTCTCATCCCGTGGGCACAAACAATTTCTACAGCAATGGGAATATTTATGCTTTTTAGGTAGTCTACATCAGAGGTTCTCCAACCTTTCCAGGCTCGAGGACTGGAGGGAAGCAGAGCAGCTTCAAAATTGGTGTGCGCCCACGTGCACGAGGCCACTCACACTGGCACGGCACTAGCAGCCCCATTCATGCATGCGGCATGCGCTGGCACTGTGCCCATGTGCAAACGGCCGTGCACTCCCACGGCAACTAGCGGCCCGTTCGCGCATGTGCAAATGGGCTGCGCAAACCGCCTGGGCTAGTAGTGCATGCGCAAACAGGCTGTGGACACCAGCCCCGCACTAGCATCCTCGTTCGCATCTGTGCACATGCGCAAATGGGGCCGCAGGCACTAGCAAGAATGGGGGGAAATGCACGCCCATGCGTGTGTACAACGGCCAGCCGTTTCCGCGGCCCACTGGCCAAGAGCCCACGGCCCAGTCCCGGACTATAGGTTGGGGACCCTTGGTCTACATGAGGCATGTCAAACTTGCGACGTCACGTGACATCCCGTGACGTATCAGGACTTTTCCCCCATTGCCGGCAATGGGGTGGGCACGGTTTCGCCGTGACGCATCCGGCCCATGGGCTGGCAGTTTGACATGCCTGGTCTACATGAAAGAGATTTAAGATAAAAAAAATTAAATTTATGGTCCTTTAAAGTATTGATAGAATATTAAAAACCTTATTTTTATTTCTGGTGTCATACTATCTAAGTGCGCTAAAGGTGACTCATTCATTATAGCAATATATTGCCAAATAGGAATTATAAACACTGCACTAAACAGGCCTTCCAATGCAAGCTTTGCTTTTTAATTAGAACAGCTACTAACCATACAGTATTTTCTTTCTTAAATACTTGAGAAAGATCAACAGCATTGCCATTTTCATGTAAAAACCACAACCTGTGAACTTCAAAATCCTGCTGAACTCCTGGTCTGAAAATCTTTATTCCAAGTACACAAAGAGGTCAATAAGGGGAGGGAGGCTCTCTTTAGAACTTGGATTTGCTTAATTTTGTAACAGGAAACTATTGCAGTCACATTTTAAGTTAATTCTGTATAGGTACATTTGGTTCTATCGAGTTCCAACTTCACTAAGAAAACAAAATCTCAAAAGTGTTTCAATGTTAGCAAAACCTTTTTCCTAATAATATTACACAGGAATGAGAAGCCTACCTATCAGTATGTTTTATTAAATTCAAAGAAAAAATGATTAAACCTCAGTATCAGATCCCAGTTGTGCACTGAATTCCTGAGTTACTTTGTATCAGGTCAGAAAGATTAAATATATATATATATATAAACACACATACCTTCTTTTTCTTGCTCTCCATCATATGTTTTCCCTTCAAAATCTTCAGACATTTCAATTGCATTATCCTCTCCTTCAATATCTGGTTTCGAATCTGGATCTTCCTTTTCCTTTTCCTGACCTTTTTGGTAAGTATCTTCTACCTGGAATATTTAACCAACCTTTATTTTAACGGGGCGTCTTCTTTAAATTAGCATGAATTCGCCTTGCCCCTCCCCCTCAACTTTCAGCCAGATAATTTTAGCATTTCCTCTCTCCTCAGAAATGCCATAATTTATTTTTATGGCATGTTTCTTTAAAACTGAAGTAGACTATTAAAAGGAATGAAGGGAGGGAACTCTGAAACCCATTAAATGGATGTACAAAAATGATGCAAGCATTCCAGCATTACTCTATGCATTAACCTTTCCTGCACAAACAGAAAACACTTTGGTGTATGGCCTTTGCGCCTTAACCAATATACACATTTCAATTGCTTTATTCCAAGCTAGACCAATTGCTCCTGGCAGAAGGGGTCTGATGGTAGATGGTATGCTAAAAGCCAAGGATGTCAACTGCAGTGACCAAGGAGAAGCAGGCCAGCTGTTGTTATATGCCATGCTGGAATCCTGACTGATCCTGCCAAGACCATCACCATAAAGAATAAATGTTTAGGCCAGGACACTGATAGCAGCAGGGGTTGAGGAAAGGGATGGCACTGGGAAGATTAAGCCATGGGACATGCCAGGCTGGGCCAGCATTTGCAGGAGTGATTGAGGAAAAGTAGGGATTCAGGGAAGTGCTTGAAAGATTGGGGGAATGTGGGCTGGTTGGGATATGGTGTGTTGGGACACCTCTGATGCTAGTAGCTTTGCCTTAATTACCCCAGAAAATTGCTCTAAGATTGCTTTGGATGTTAATGTCAAAAACTTGAGACCAACTCAAAGGTTCCAGATTTCGTTTCTGCTGAACTCTGATATGTTTTCCATTTTGTGCACATCCCTATGCAATGCTGTTTGTTCACCACCAAAAAGAATCAGCATTTTTTCATGCTTCTCATACATACTAAAACCCTAGCATTCATTTGCTTTGTATAGATTGTAAATAGACACTTCAAACCTTACCTGGTCTTCATTTTCTATCTTGTCACTAACATCCTTTTTGCCTTCCCCATCTCCAATGCCACCATCTTCATAATCATGGAATTCTGTTCCTCCTTGTCCCCCATCCTCGATGATTTCTTTTGGTAAACAAAAACCCTAACAAAAAAAGCACTCAGCTGAACCAAGGATGGCAGTCATTAAAATGAACAATGAGTTCCACCATTTTAAGGTTTCTTCTGCTTGGGGGTGAAGCCTTTGCAAGCTTTCTCCCAAAGACAGAAAAATCCACTTCAGCAAAAATCCACTAAGGATTAGCTACTTATTAACATGTAAATTAATTGTGATATAACTGGGTTATTCACCCAAAAGTTCCTAAAGAACCATATGTAAAATTACTTCCCTCCTAGAAAAATAGGTTTTTTTTATTCATATCAGAATCAGAATACCAAAAGGAAGCCAAAGTATCATTTTAAAAAAAAAGTAGCAAAAAAAAAAAAGTATCCAGTCAACTTAACATTTCTTCCAGGCAAATTGATGGGAATGACAATCAGAATTTAAATAGTAACTAGGTATGCAGGAGAACATGATTTGCTGGAAGAAAATCAGAATGGATTCTGCAATGGTTAAATCCTGCCTCAACTTTTTTGAGTTTTCCTAGTGTAAATAGGGTACATGAATTAAACTGAACTTATGAATATCGTAGTGTATTTTTCCAAAAGCCTGATGAAGTTCCTCATCAAAGACTTATGAAGGAATACAGAATAAGAGAATCCTTTTATATACTTTATTTATTAATTTTTTGTGCTGTCCATCTCCCCTACAAGATGATTCTGGTGCTTCTAACTATTTAAATACGGACCATCAACCGTAGGGAATAAGTGGGAAATTTTCTTACTGGAAAGAAGCAGAAAGCGGAACCTTCTCAAAGACCTGTTTTGTAACCAGTGCTATTTAATTTGTTCATAAATGGTCTTTAACTTAGAAATAATCAGGTGGCCTAATTGTGGATGATACTAAACTATTCAGAATAGTAAAAACTAAAACTGATTATGAAGAGCTCCAGAAGTATCTTTTTAAATTGAGCGAACTGTCAATCAAAGAGCAATACTAAGTAAGTGTAAAAGTGATGCACATGTCTCAGGTCCTGCCATTTCACATCTTCGGTGTTGGGGTCTGAGGTGTCTGCAACTTACCAGGAAATAAAAGTTTAAGATCATAATATTGACTAAGCTGCTGTTAGAAACAGAACTTCTGTGTTAGGAATGATTAGAAATCACCTGAAAATAATAATGTCTCTCTACAAATCTATGGTACTTCCACATCTGGAATACCAGGTAGAGTTTCAGTTGCCATACTTAGGATATAGGAGAGCTGGGGAAAAATTGCAAAAGATTGCAACTAAAAATGATCAGGAGTTCAAAAACTTCCCTGTGAGAAAAGGCAAGAATACCTTATAGTCTTTAGCTTAGGGGAAAAAAAGTGATGGAGAGGGAACATAACTGTGGTACACACAATCTTTCATGATATCGAAAAAATGGGACACGAAGGTGAGGGTCTTTGTTTTATCTCCACAACAGGGTGGGCTGATAGAAAAGTAGTCCAATTTTACCCAGTGTTTCTATAACTGTGAAGGGATATAAATCTGGACCATTCAGCTCTAGTCAAACATCTTGCTGGTAAAATTCTGAAAATTTTGTTAAAGCTAAAGTGGAAAACCAAATGCAACATGCAACAACAAACTCAATTTCAAAGGCCGTTGTTTCAACTTCAGTAGTACAAAGTAAAAATAACTTTTTGGGAAAATGAAAGGTGCAGCAACGAATAAATGTAGGTTCCCACAGTGACATTTGCTTTCCACTTCTTACCTTTTGTGCAATTTCTGTAAATATGTTTGTCAAGACAAAAAGCAATTTTGCAGTGCTCCTATGTGTGGCCAAGGAAACCGCGAGGTAGAAAAGGACAATATTGGAATATTTGCAAAGAATTGGCATTAGGCGTATAAGCAAGTGGCAGGCCTGATTAAAAAGCTGAAGAAACAAAAGAGAAATAATATGAATTAATTATGGGAAATATTTTTAAGGGTCTACATCTTCTTTCTCCAGGATTGGTTTCACTGCTTGTAGTGCTTATAAACAATTTCAAAAAAAATTTTTTTTTTATTCTTACATGCTACTGAGTATTTGAGGCAAGTTGAAGAAACAATTCTAACATTATGTTTAATATCTTTCCCCAGATATATTTTAGCTGAAAAAATATCACCTTGCATTTGTATGCAGTGTAATCCTCGCCGTAAGATTTCAGTTGCTCCAGGAGCTCAGAAATGACTGAAATTATTTTTTTTATATGCAAAGAATTCACATCGGAGCATATTTCTTCATCTAAGAGTTTAGTTAAATGCCCGGTCTGGAGCTCATCAACTGAAGATTCTTCTCCTGGAATAAGAAATATAAAAAGTGATGATCAAAAAGGCATTTCAATTGAGCTCGTGAATATGTCCTATCAATCGTTGGTTCTCGTTTTTAAAAATGATCGTGCTACAGAAGTGTCACATCAGAGCAAGAAGAATGCTTTTGACAGAACAACAGTTGTTTTCAAAACAAAACAAGTGAAAGAATGTTCAGTCCTACCATCTTCTTTGGGGAAGATGCCATTCTCCTCTTTATCTTTTCTTCTTTCAACCAAACACTGGACAGAACTCAAGACAACATGAATTGCAAGTTCTACTTGTTCTGAGAAGAGTTCTACAAATCCATCACCCGATGTTGACTCATCTATGAAAATAATAGTTGAAAAATTAAAGGGGAAAGGTTTTGGTTTTAACAATGGAGAGATGGATGGATAAATGTGTGCACCAGGCTTGCTTCCACAATATCTTAGCCACCTACTTATTTAAATAAATAAATGTGACCACCATAATGTTTCCAGCCATTTTGTGTATCTGAAGTATCAAAATTCTCCCTTCATTAAAATCAGGATCAATATACTATTGTACACTATAGAAAAAGTTGTTGGTTGTTCTTCAGAATTAAACCGGAGGTTCACTTTCAGGGATCTAGTATAAAAATGACTGCAAGCGCAGTCGATAATTTTATTATTTCACACAAAATTACTGCACGTAGTGGAAAGTTTAATCACTTGGGAACTGGATAGCCCCCCTTCAGCCCCACAGAAAGTTAAGAGTAGCCTGAGGGAGCTGAACTATGAGGCACCTTCCCTAAGCATTACATCTTATTCAAACAACTATAGCATAATCCAGTGGTGGCGAACCTATGGCACCTGTGCCAGAGGCGGCACTAAGAGCCCTCTCTGTGGGCATGCACACCATTGCCCCAGCCCCGTTCCCCCCGTGGCCCCCTCCTCACCAATAGCCCCCCTGGAGGAGAGTCACCCCCGAGCATGGCCTGCGCAAAGCAGCACAGTCAAGGACATGGCAGCCGGGCAGCGGGAACAAGACTCTGCCCTCACGCCCCGTTGTGCGCAGTTAATGCTGCGCGGTGTGGGTGGATGGCGTGGCCACCATGGCGCTGCTGGGCCGCCTGGGCAATCTGCTGCGGGCTGTGGAAGTGGTGAGTGGCCCTGCGGGTGGGCGGGGAGGGGCGGGGCAGAGCAGGCGGGATGTGGTGGAGCAGGGGCGGGATGGGGACGGAAGCAGTTTTGGGGCACTCAGTCTCTAAAAGGTTCGCCATCACTGGCATCCCTCCCAAGATGGGAAAACCCCATAAGCCCCAGTGATACATTTGTGACTTCAAAGGCAAGTCTAGAAGAGCCAAGAGAAGAAGAGATCAATACAGCAGTAACTTTTCTTTGACTTTTTAGGTTGATCCCTTCTTTACTTTTGCTTTCCAGAAGGTCCACTACTCAGACAGTCTGCTTCCAAATACTGCAGAAGTACCAGAAAAATGGCCTCAGGGTACAGTAAATGTCCTAGATCCCAGCCCCTTAAAGACTGTGCTTTCACTTACAAAAAGCCCATTTCTAGAAAGAACAGCCTAACATTGTGATCACTGGATGATATCAAGCATAAAGCAATGCTTAGGAACGTATAAAGTAATGACTGTAGTTAAAATCCTACAGGCCAACAGAGAACAATATCAAATCAATAAATCTCCTGCATTACTGAACAGAAGGAGAGAATCATTTTTACCTTCACAGTGTGAAATTGAACTGAAGAGTTGTGTCTTCCAGATAGCAAAATCATCTACACTGCTATTAATTTCTCCTTGGATATATATGAGACTCCTGATTAATGCCATCTGTGATCCAATTTGATTGACTTGAGAATCAGGTGGTGTAAATAACAACTCAATATCCTGCAGTTGAGTTGAAACCTTCAGCAAACAATCCACTCCTGAAGAGCATACTTCAAAACTTTTCCTGGGAAAGAACATTGAAAAGAGAATTTGAAACTGAATAAAAACTGCTATGAATAAATATGGAGTGGTTTCTGTTGCACTTATGAGTGATTTGACATTAGAAATACAATACACACACACATCGGGGGTCGGGGAGGGGGGGGGGAGAAGCCAAACAATCTATATAATCTAGTTACAAAAACCACCTTAGAAATTTTGTTCAAAATGACCCAATTAGAGCAGCATGGAGAAAGCAGCAAGCAAAGTTAAGTACTTGGGAATTTTTTTTTGTCCTCCTCTAACATGAAACTGTATCAGAATAATTATGAAAGATTGTGGAAATCAGTACAAAAGGATTTATTGATGTGGAAGAAACTGCAGTTTTCCTTGCTGGGTCGTATTGCGGCCATTAAAATGAACATTCTACCTAAGTTTCTTTTTCTATTCCAGATGTTACCTATTTTAAAAAATGAACTTAACTTGAAAGAATGGCAGAGAGATCTGAATCGCTTCATTTGGGAAGGCAAGAAAGCCAGAGTTAGATTTAAGATTATCCAAGATGCTAGAGAACGTGGAGGACTTAAAGCACCAAATTTGACACTTTATTATGACTCTTGTGCATTAACATGGATGACTGATTGGATTAACCTGTCTAACAAAAGGATATTGAACATTGAAGGATGGGACTTGTACTTTGGGTGGCATGCCTATCTTTTTATGCAGAAAAAGATTGATAAAACTTTTAGAAATCATATAATAAGGGCTGCCTTGTTAAGAGTCTGGCAAAAGTATCTTTTTAAGTTTGATATTGGACTTCCAATTTGGGTGATACCATCACATATCTTTTTGACTATACCTAGATATGTGGTGATGGAGGCGCCTTCTTATAAAGACTTGTTATATCAGGGTGGTAGTGGTAATTGGTGCCTGAAATCAATAGAAGTTTTGAAACAGAAAAATCCAGACTTTTCTTGGCTTGTGTATAGACAAATA